AACATCTGGTGTTGAAACAAATCCTTCTGGTATCACCAGTGTTCTCCTTGAATCTGAATTTACCACAAGTGAGAATGTACCAACAGTTACAATCAAACATACAGACCTGGTGGAATCACCTGAATTTATGCCCTCGGAATCTGTGCTTTTGCTTGACAAAACCCTTCCTGCAAGTGTTTCTACAGACAAATCATCTGTAAATATCTCAGACTTTTCATCCATCTTTTTATCAACACCATCTTTCTTTGAATCTAGCAGCTGGTCATCTTTATCATCTGCTGTATCCACCTTTTATTCAAGAATGCCAAGTGATTTATCAACACTATTACCTCAGGTCTCCCCTACGCTGCTGGGGACATCGGTAGTTTTTGATGCTTCCTTTAGTTGGGATTCAGCTGACTTTCCTGCCACTGACAGGACAAATATAGAGATTTCTCAACTCTCTCCCTGGCAGACTTCATATCTATATTCCAATACATTCTCTATTTCAAACACACACAATCCTGAAGTGATGTCTTCAAGTTTTTACTCTGACTTCTCCAAGTTATTAGAAGGAACATCAGTCTTGCTAATGGATTCTGAAGTTTCGCTTACCTCAGTTTTCACAGAAGCTACCTCTCAGTTAGAGTCTTCACTCTTCTCCCTTGAATCAGCAGTTCCTACACTGGTGCTGTCCATTTCTGACTCGGAATCTGTTCTAACCAGCAATATCTTGGTTGATGAAACCTCATGGTTTACCAGTTTTCAGACAACTCCTGTCTTAAGTTTACCTTCATCCCTTCTCTCAACTGTTACAGCTTCAGATGAGGATATCGGTGCTACTGTTAACTACACGTTGCTTTTAACATCTCTCTCCAAGGCAACTGCTAGCACAGCACCTTTTACAACAAATCCATATACGTCTTTGTTGAGCACAAAAGCGAGCAGCATTATCGCTTCACCTATACAGTCAATATCTGTGGTCACATCATTTGTACCCACACAGCTGCCTCCATCCACAAACACTTCAGTTGAATTTGGTACACCAACAAAAACTAGTGTAACTGAAGTTACCAATATAACAGGTGCTTCTACCGTCACTTCAGCCACCGTTAGTCGCACAGATAGCCATAGTACAACTACTGAGAGCAGCTCAAGTACTTCCTCATCCCCTTCTACTGCTGTAGTGGCTACAACTCCATCTGAAGTTATAATTATCAACACCACCCGACAACCATATGTTTGTGACATCACTGTTCCTGACACTTACTTAATAATGGCTGGTAAGATAAAGCTCACTTTCATTTCAGTTATTTTCTTTAAAATTGTTTGTAAACTACTCTTCATTCTCCCCTTTCTCTCCCCCCCTCATCACTTTCATGAATGCCACCTTCTAATGCAAATCTTATCTAAATTACACATGCATGGGTGCTCAATACACATTGGAAAGGAACACAGCATGGGATGTGGATTATCTTGTTTACATGTAGTTGTTGTGAAGGGCCAGATTTCCATGCTTGCAGCCTGGGTTTGTATTCCTTGCTTATACAAATTATTAAACTTTTCTGCACAAAACCTGTTCCTTGTCCACAAATGGGATGCAAATAGTGCTTTAAAACTGATCTTGAATACATGTAGGCTTACTGCAACTCCTTGATAATTTTGATGTTAAGTGTAAAGTATTCAACAGAACCGTTGGACAGAATCATTTAATATAGTAGGGTGGAATGGATTTCCCTTTGAAGATATTGAGACTGATTATAAATGTCATAATTTAAAATAAACTTTAAAACACGTGAAACTGAAGTCAGTTTTTCTAGCTATCACTAAAATTTTATTTTGCCACATGAACTTTAGCTAAGTACCTATAGTATTTGGATAATTTTCATTGGACTCGGTGTGGTTATGATCAGAAAAGTGACCTTTTGTACTTAAAAATAAAGTTGCCTTGTTTCTGCTGAGCTAATGTACTACGGTTGTGAGAGTCGTATTTGATGTCAGTCACAAAAAATTTCCATTGAAGTTTTATGGCCAGAATATGTGCGTTTGATGTATAAAACAAAAAGAACAGAGTACTGTATAATTTTTTCCAGATATAAGAATGAGTTGGCTGTGCTAATGGTAAGAAAGAGGTTCTCTCCTCCCCCCCTTTTTTGGATTTGTAAACAGATCAATTTTATTACGCAAATATTTGATGGAGAATAACCACAAAACACGAAGATGTCATTTTACAGTTGCTTGAATAATCACAGTCGTAATTTAAAGTGTGGTTATTGTTAGCAATAATAGTCTGCCTCTGTGTAATCAGTAAGTTTGCTTACTTTTTTAAAACAAATATAAGGTGGTGTTTTTTTCATGCCTTTTAGTAGTATATATTTAACACAGTTATTGGATAGTGATTTGCATTCTGTTCTGGCTTATGCCTCCTCTAGAATTGTTAGCTGTATTACAACAGCAGACTCTTTATTGCAAGTGCACAAGTCAAAAATAATGTAGTTTGACTTTCAAATCCAGTTTGAATTTCTAGTCCGACTGTTACTAGCAGAGGAACAGATTTGATATGGAAAAAAGTTGAGAGAGAATAAGCACAGAATCCAGCAAGTTATGCACTTTTCAGGAGTCACTTTTTCAGGACATAATTGCACTTTTATATGTATCTTGTCCTTTGTGTTTTACACCTTGATCACAGTTGACCTCATTTTCTGCTTTGTCATGAATCAAACAACTAAAATGCAACACTGAATCAAATCACTATGGATGAAGCTAACGTGTACTTACTGGATCTCATTAATTTCCAGTGCTGGCCCGAACAGCTGTGCTAGAAAATGTCAGTGAGTCCATCAAAGAAGTGCTGAGACTTCAGTTCAGGCGAGCAGTAGAACTGGAGGTAAGTGGTAGCAAATGTGTACATTATTTACTTGGCATAAAGCTAAAGTTTGGTGTGTTTTGTTGATGTTTTTTAATTTGCCTGTATGAAATAATGATTAAAAACAAACACACTCCCCATTGATTCTAAAGCACAGAGGAATTTTGTTTTAAGTTAAACAAGAATACCTAAAAAAACCCTTGCATTTTTAATTCTTATTTATATTTTTACAATGTATCAGATTTAAAGAATCTCACCTTCCTCTCTGGCTTGAATAAATGGTACTCCCCCACACCTCACCCTCTTCATTGGCTGCAG